CTTCGTCACGCGCGGCAATAGGCGCGACGTCTTAATTTGCACTACCCTTTCGATTGAAGCATCGGATTTCATGTAGACAAGGACATGGTAGACACTTATGTCTATTTTTGGTCATACATTGTCTATTCTCGACCAATACCACCTAAAATCGTCGTCATTAGCAGGCGCGACGTCGCACGCGACGCCTCTGGCGCGGCGAATTACGATTCTCTTGCCACATGCCCATTATGCCCCACACATGTCGTAGGTATAGTTATAAACTAGATATAACTATTTTAAGCCCACTGTTTGTAAACAGTAGTCACCCACTAAATATCGGTCAGGTCAGCCAAATCTTGAAAATTTCAATTTCTGCCGTAAGCGAATTCGCCTGGCAAAGTCAGCCGGATCAGCTATTATTATTGATTGATGAGCTAGCTCATCTGGGGTTACGCGAATTATGACTTCTCAAAAGTTATGCACCAGAAAAGCAAGTTATCCCCTGTGTAAACTACGCATAGAGAGCTTCTTTCTAGAGTTACGTTACCGTACCATGAAACTCAAAAATAGTTAACGACTATTACAATGTCTAGTTTCAACCTCTTGGACATTTTTCTCAGACAAAGAAATGCAGCGCCAAAGTCGCTTACAACCTGATTTTTACGTCGAGTTGTGCAGTTAGAAATGGCGTCGTCGGGCCTGGAATTCTCTTTTAAGTGCTCGTTGCTTGGCGTCAATGGAACAGGACATCTGGGAGACATTTCTGTGTTTATCGAACCTGCAATGACAGGCAACCGATTTCTCAAAAGGGGTGGGAACCATTCATCATTTCACGTTCATGAACAAAAGATGGCTTTCAGGCAGTGGATAAGCGATTAATCATGTTGGAGAGTAAGCAGTTTGATGGATTTTCTACCCTGCTCTCCAGGATGCTCCATTGCTTGCTTGAGCTTTTCTAAAAGAATTTCCTAGCAAATAGGCTCTCCACACAGGACACGCCATCGCGTTGTGATCATTTCCTGAGAAATACGACCCCCCCCACCTAATTCCATTCTCAAATACCACTCCTCCCTCCCCATGTTAGGGAGGGGGTGGGTCGTCAGGATTTAACTATCATTTTCAACTATCGGAAATAGTAGTTGTATAGATCTTTGGCAGTCCCTCTCCCAACAACGACCAAATACGACCCCCCCCACCTTATAGCGTCCATGGAAGAAGAGAAATCAACTATCAAAAATTTTTCTCATACCATGTACCCCCCCCTCGCAATCAAATACGACCCTTCCCGTTTTGATCGTCACAACGATGGCGTGCCCTGTCTCCAGAGGCGAGAGCGGAGTAGCGACAAGTGGTGCCCCGCTTTCCAAGTGCATGATCAGGGGATCAAGCCCTACATAGAGGTCTCAAAATAGGTCTTGAATAAATCTTGAAGCTAAGCTACATTTTTGCTTTCAATCTCCCTTACTATTCCTTTTTTTGTCCGCGGTCGATGATTTTTCACTTTCAGTGAATTTTTTTGCATCAT